AAGCCAACGACATTGGCCTCAAACATGACCCGCTCCTTCGCGGCTTCTCCAAGACAAGAGGTGGACAAGGCGACTTGACTATCTTCAGCGACAGGAAGGGTGGGACAATAAGTTTGGACTTCGACAATCCACAATAATAAATGTCCACCCTTCTTTCCGTCGTAGGTGGAAGGTAATTCTATCTCGCCTTCTCTTTCCTTTTTGCCTTCTCCCTGCCCTCTTCTTTCTTTTTCGTCTTTTTTTGGGGAACTTCCAGTTCTTTGGGTGGGCGAGAATTCATAACATCCTTCGTCAATTTTTGTTTTGGTTTCATTTTCAGTTTTTTTCCTTTGTTTTTTTTTTCTCTTCCTCGGCCACAGTTTGTTTCATGTCCTTGATCACATTTTTCATAGTTCGCAATTCACTGGTGACGTTATCTATTTTCATTTCAAGGACAGCAAGGTACAACATCATTTGTTCAACAAGTGTATCGAGGTCAGTTTCCGATCCAATCTGAATTTTTTGTTTAATTTGATTTCCACCACCTTTATTTGCTGTTCTTTCTCTCGTCGTTGCTGAACATAGGCTTTCCTTCTTCGTGTGCTCGGCTTCCGAAGCATACTGAAACATCATTTGTTCAACAAGTGTATCGAGGTCAGGTTCCTGTCTCTTATACACATCTAGATGTGTATAAGAGACAGTCTTTCTCTCTTCGTTGCTGAACATAGCCTTTCCTTCTTCTTGTGCTCGGCTTCCGAAGCATACTGTAGTTGCTGGATTGTTGTCTCCATAATGTCTTCATTCAGTTCGGTTTCTTCTTTCTTTCACTCGGCTCCCCCTTCTTCTCTTCCTTAACCTCTTGAGTTAGCTAGCTTCGCAAACTGCTGATCTATAAAATAATTCAGGCTCATCCGTCCTCGATCAATAAGCTGTTGCATTCGCCCGCTAGTTTCCAGCATCTGAACAACAGTTTCAACCTGCAACAATTCATCCTCTACAGCACGCACATCGAACTGGTTGCGTGCATGCTATTCAACTTGTAGACCACCATCGTGCAATTCTGTGAGCAACTAGCAGACGGCCCAGCATCTGCTGTCGTATGTCTTCAACTTGTCCCCGTGTTCATACCACTTTCTCCTCTTGATCAGCAAAGAAAGTGACGGAGATGGGAAAGAAGAACCAAGGGAATGAACCTTGTCAAGATGGATGCAGGCAAATAGTTCCAAAGGTGAGCCACCTCTCAAGTGAGAGTGCCGCACAACAACGTGTTCATACCACTTTCTCCTCTTGATCAGCAAAGAAAGTGACGGAGATGGGAAATAAGAACCAAGGGAATGAACCTTGTCAAGATGGATGCAGGCAAATAGTTCCAAAGGTGAGCCATCTCTTAAGTGAGAGTGCCGCACAACAAAATTTGAATGACATTTGCGATTTTCACTGCCTCACTACTAACGAATTCCAAGTAAAGAAATATGAACAAAAATTAATGGATTAGAATTTTCTGACTTCTGACTAGACGACTTATAACTTCTGATTTGAGAGACTGCAATTTTCGCAGCCACAACCAGTATGATCAAGACAACACAACAATGAAGTCCCAACATCCACACGACAACCGTCAAAGGTAAGTACACAAAGACAATCAGCAACACACCACAAACAAACAATGGTTAGCGGCCACTCTTGTTGTCTGCCCCCAGATGTCTGTGTGGCCAGACACGTGCCCTGGCGCGCGACACTACAGCATAGTCTAGTGCTGGACCGCCTGTCAGGCTGGACACGGTGGAAGGTATTCTCACACCAGCCTTGTTTTCCTTGCAATACCTCACTCGTGAGACTGTGGTCTACGGCAGCAGCACTACAAGTGACACATCAGCAAGACATACTGCCACGTCCGCACGGCATTGGCTCCACAAAGCCCAGTGCTGCGTCAGCAAACTTGTGCCACAGCAGCACGTCAGTGGTGCTTCATAGGCCAGGTCAAATACAGGTACCGCCGGACCGCATCAACAATGGCTGCCACTTGAAAAAACCTCTGCTTCTTGCCGCATATTATCAATGGGAAGGTGCCACGTCACTGGAAATGCTTTGCTGCTGCTCCCAGGACATTGCCGTGTCGCTGGAGATACCTCACTGGTCTTCTATGGACAATGCCACATCAGCAAGTGTACCTTGCTCTCTGCCTGAGAGCACCATGTCAGCACCTGTGCATGGCTTCTCGCCAGAAGAGGAGAAATACAATGGCACTGTGACTGCCACGTCGGCAGGCTGCCAATACCAGAACCACACTGATCTCCACGTCAGCATCTTCAACTTCTCTGCACTGGTGCCACTTCAGCAGCTGGTGTCGATGATAAATATTCTCTCTCCTCCTCCCTTCCACGTCATCACTTCCCTTCACACAAGTCTCTCGCTGACCAGTGCCACGTCAGCAAATATCTCGCCAACTGGCACTGGTCTCTCCTCGCCGACCAATAATGAAGCAGATAATAGATAATGTCGCTCTTCTTCTTCGCGGATGACTCTTCAACTACTCGTCATCATCATCATCATCATCATCATCATCAATGTCATAGCCAGCAGATGGTAAAGTAGGAGGATAACGCTCTGATACCAAATTGTAATGAACCCAATTCAAAGTGTTTGTATTTTGCATAGTTTTGCTATATATGATTTCTATGTATTTTTATATGATCTCTATGTATCTTTTTGTCAACGAGTTTGGGAACAGCCATTACTGTTCGATACCTAGATATCTAGATATGGTTCATTTAAATTAATCAACAAGATAGAAGTAAATTCAATATAATATTGAATTTACTTCTATCTTGCATTATTACTTTATTGGATTTTTTATTATAACTACAAATAATAGAATAACTATATTTCTATCTAAACTTCCCCTCATCACACACGCCAACTTCACAGTCCAGATACTCCTCCTCTCCTCCTCTCCTCTGCAATCAGACTCGCTCTCATTCACACTTCGCATTCATGCAAACAGGTGCGCAGCAAACTGGCGACAAGCGCCCACTCGAAACTCAGAGATATGGTAGCCAAGAACACA